CAGATCCCATTAAGCCAAAGCTATTGTTACGAGGGAAGCAAGCTCACCGAGCTCATCAGCAGGACTCTGGCTGCAGGTCTGGCAGAATTAGACACCTTCTCACATCTGTAAATGGTGGTTGGGTGCAATTAAGAGAACCCCCCCTACACAGGCAAACACCACAGCCTCTTCCTGCCTCGCGGGTTTTTTTCTATGAGCCGGGCTTCCTTAAAATAACAAGTCGGCTGTATTTTTAGCACCCATGAGAAGTACCTGACACACAGCAGAGAATCCTGCAAGAGCAGAGGTACCTCACAGCAGGCAGGGCCTCTGCAGAACGCCCCCACCCTCCCTGCCATGCCCACCTGCCTTCCTCCCCACTCAGAAACCACCCCACCAGCGAGAGCAGCTTCCCGACTCCTTCCTTCACCCACGTTCCAAGCCCTGGCGTTCGCTCGGCAAAGAGTCCGGAATAGGGCCGGCAGGGTGTTTGTATTGGAGCATACACGCAAATGTGCATTGCATTGCACTTGTGCATATGACAAATACACTGAACTGAGCTACAGGACAATTAAAAAAAAACACACACACAACACCAGCCCCCACCCCCAAACCAGGGCCGGATTTGGGGTTCGTAGGCCCTGGGCACTTTCACTCCGAGGGGTGAAGAAGGGTGAACGCCAACTGACGTGACGCCCTGTAAACTATTCCAGTGCTAAACCCCCTGATTGAGGGAGCGAGTCGAGCCACCATCACTTCCATACTGCTAGTGTCTAGAGCAGCGTCTGATTATTGATCTGGAGCACCTAGAGCCGATCGCCAGCGCGTTGTTTCAGCTCGTTTTTCGTTGGTCACTACTGTTCCCCTCCTTCGCAGGCCCTAAAAATTTCCTAGGGAAATTGGCACTGCCCCAGACTGCTTTAACTTCTCAGGACGAGATTAATTTGTGTCTATTTTCGCTTTCCCTTGTGGGGGAATCAGTACTTGAAGATCCAGCAGCATCAGACACACTGAACACAGCCTGGGCACGAGAGGGTCAGGCCCCCGATCCCAGACAGGGCCTGACTGGCACGCTCCTGTGACTCGCTCCTGTCGGGCGACACCCGGCTGCACACGGCTCAGGGCTTGTGCACCCGGAGAACCCCGGCGCGAGCCGCTGACCTCTGACCTGCTACGCGCCCGCCCTGCCCCAGAACTGCCTACTGGACGGAATCTCGACCCGAGACCCGTCTGCCAGGGTCTCAGCACCAGCGCCGATGCCCGGTCTTCTCCTAGCCCAGAACGTTTCCAAGTCTTCCCACCCGAAGTCCTTCGTTACCTAAACGCATCACCTGATTGACCGAGTGGAAGACTTTCTTTGCTCCTGAGAAGCCAGGGATTTAAAGACAGCTGTGCCCAGTGCCCCTAGTCTGGCTACCATTGAGACAAGGATCAGCTAATTAAAACTTCAAATTAAAAACTAAGTCCTGCGCCTGAAAAACAGAATCTCTTTTCTCCATAGTGGGGGGGGGGGGGGGGGGGGGGGGACTGGCTGGCAGACGTGGGACAACCAATCACGAGCAGCCTTGGGGAAACACTCGCAGTCCCACAGTGCACTGCTCTCACCAGGCCAGCTAGCCGAGCAAGAGCATCGCATACAGGCTTCCTGCTCTCCTCGTTAGGAGAAAGGACTGGGATTAGAGTGGCACACCAAGCAATTAACACTTCAAAGTGAAGGACAGCACGGGGAACAGGAGCTGGACTGCACAGTGGGAGCAGGCGGAAGGCGCCGATTAGCGTGGCACAGACAAGGGGCTCTGCCGTCGGGCATTATCTGCTGGTACCCAAACGGGTTAGAGGGGCTGAATCTGGCTCATCTGGCACTGTTCTCATCTTGGCACCCACCGGCCGACAGAGCTTCTTGATCGTGCCGTCCGAGTGCCATACTGGCAGAGAGCTCCGACGACTCCGAACCGGGCCCCATCAGGAACCAGCAGAAGCACAGGTCGGCCCGAACCAGGACTGCTTCCACCCCTCCCACCGGGTCACAAGAACTTGACCTCAGCCACCGCGCGGCCCAGCGCTGCCTTCCCGTCACCATCTTGAGCATGTGCCCCCAAAACACGCTGCGCACACTCACGAAAGTCAGGGACCTCAAGTTTTACACCGTTTAACAGAAAGACCACTTTCCTAACCTTTGTAGGAACCCATATAGAGGATGACCATCCATGATCTTCAGAAATGTATCTAGTTAAACAAAAGCACATTGAAAACCCCATAATTACTCTGATTAAAGTCCAAATGGAGCAGTTTCTCCACACCTTGTCAGTCAAAGAGTTTTAAAATATACAGAAAGTATTGGAGAGAGTTGCCTTTCAGTGAATTTAAATGGCATATTACCCTATGCTGTCACGTTCAGTAAACACAAAATAAAAAGACTTGAGAGCTTCCCTGTAGTACAGGTGACGCATCATTAGGAGTCAAAAGCCATGAGATAATGTACAGAAGAGGCCAGGTGTGTGTAAAAGGGTGTGGAGTGGAAAATGGACAAATGACACCTTCTCCACACTATTCCCCTGCAGAAGGGTCGCGCCACGCAACACGGTCTTCATTTCTCCAACAGAAACTTTCCCAAACTATTTTCAGCACGGGGGTCCACAGAGGGCGTGTCTCTCAGCCTTCCCATAATGCAGCACCCTGGCGGGCAGGCCCCAGGAGAAGCCCCGCGGTGGTCCTGGTGGTCACTGCTCTAAGGCACTCAACGCCACATTGAGCAGGAGAGTCACACGTCATTAAAGCCAGGCATGCACAGCCCAGTGTTAACACAACACTGCAGGAGGCCTACAGACCAGCCTAGGGCACACAGTCTGATGGGCTTTCAGACGGCCTGAGCTCTGTCCAGCAGGCTCTAGCACAAGGGTCCTTGCAGCCCGCCCTGGCCCGGAGTGACCCCCCCCCCGAGTTCGCTGGTCTTCAGTCCAGCTGTGCGATTTGGTGTCTAGAACTTAACTGCCTCTTTCTTCTGCACTCAGACCTCAGTTTCCAACATACAGTAGCTTAGCTGAAGCTCATTTTCCACAACAATCAGCACACAGCCCTCGATGCAGTTTCTCCACACCTTGTCAGTTTTGAAAGTCCAGCTACAGGGGTGTTAAGAGCTCATGATGAGCAGGGACCAGCTGGGAGGGGTGCTATCAGACTCCCACAGTTCTTCCTTCGGGTCACACTGCAGTGAAACACACCTGAACAAGTGAAGAAGGGTCCTTCTGAAACTAGATTACGAAGCCAGCTTTCCAGGTCTGCTTTCAGCTCATAAAAATAAAGTCCATCCATTTTCTAATTGCCGAATCCCATTCAGGGCTGCAGGGCAGCCAGAGTCTATCCCAGCAAACAACGGGCACAAGGCAGGGCACACCCTGGGCAGGACACCAGTCCATCACAGGGCAGACAGACACACACAGGCACTCACACCAGGGTCACATTTCCCAGAAGCCAAGAAACCTGCTAGCATGTCTTGGGAGTGAGGGAGGAAACTTACACGAACAAGGGGAGAACATGCAAACTCCACACAGACATCACCCCCAGGTCCAGAATTGAACCCAGGGCCCCAGAGCTGGAAAACAGAAAAAACTACGCACTGCACCACCCCTAAAAATAATCCTCAACACAAAAGTGAAACAATTCAGGCTTTGATTAAGAGCAAAAGGTGGAGCAAAAACCAGTCAATATCATCAGAACTGAGACCCACTGGGCTGGATGATCAGAACACAGCTGGGCTCAGAGTGTCTGGGGGGCGTCAAAGGAGGGCAGATGTCTCCTTGCAACTTTTTAGTTTCAAGACAGCGTTTTGGGAACTCGGAAAAAAAAATACTCCAAAGTTAAACAGCACAAATCTCTTATTTGTTAAACGTTTCAGGGTAATTTAGGGTAAGGCTATTGAATAATCCCTTTAACACAACACACACTGACCTTGCTCAAAAAAAAAAAGTACCATACTACAACACAAAGAACTACAGTACAGTCCTGCTGGGGGGGGGAGAATCTAAATTAACTTCCGTCTCATCACTGATGCGTGTCTGCCGCACCAAGATACCAGACGGCATATATTATCGATCTGCCTTCGGAATCGGCGTCATCGTCCCCGTTTCCCATTAAAAAGCCTCCCCGTTAGCCCCCCCCCCACCACCAGTCCAAAACCCCCACCTCCGCGTACAGTTCGCTAATTGTTACCTATGCGTGGCAGCAGCAACCAGCCCCGATAGCAAACGCCATTTGCGTGCAATGTGAAAGAAGTTGAGAGAACACGTCTTCACTTACGTAAATGGCTGATGCATTTTCGGGGTTTTTTTTTTTTAATTGTACCACGAACTCCATTGCACACTACAAGACTTGGCGCCCTCTATACTGTAAATCATCACACTTCATGCATGTAGCGTCCACGCACAACCGGCCGGGGCGACTTTTAAGCGAATAAACGTTGAGGCACGCTTGGCGTTTATTGTACAGGCTACGGACAGCCGCCTTGGCGAAATCAGCCCGTCTGCACCGCAGCCCGCTCTGCATTGTTTATACCCGATTACTGTACTCGCAGGCAGGACGACGGGCTTCTCGATCTGTTAACCCCTAGAGACGCCACATGAAACAATGAAACGAACTGCCTGTTAAAATCCGGGATTTTTTTTTTTTTGTAACGGCGCTTCGACGGATAAAACGCATCTCTCCGGTACATCGCCGCCGTTTCACAACGTTTAACGATTTGAATTGAAAGAAAATCGATTTAATCTTTTTTCCAGTCGGGGAAGTGTTGATGCAACGGTACTGTACGAACAACAACTGTCTGGTTTTGCACCATAATTTTCTCCCCACCGCAGCAAATCCTACTCTTTGGCAAAGCCCACACACTCACACAAAAGGCTATCACCCCCAGGCACGATTTTTTTTTTTTGAAAAGCAGACAAAACCACCAGGAAACCCCCGGTTTTTCCTTTTTTTAAAACGCGTTTTTTTCCCAGCCTAGGCCGCAGCTCCATCCCCGGACTCACCTGACTCGCCTTTCCCCGCAGGTTCCACTGTGCTCCGGGCTCGTTCCTCCGATCCTGAAGCGCTGCAGCAGCTCTTCACGACCAGACCCCGGCACCGGCAGGCAACACAAAAGCGCTGATTGGGCCCCGACGAGCGCTCATCCCCCTCGGTCGCTGCCCAGACAGCCGGGTTATTGGTCGGCGGCTGTGTCGGAGACGCGCCCCTTATTAAGGTGTGTGTTGTTGTCTCTGTCTGGAGGGGAGGGGACAAGACGCAGCGAAATGATGGGAACTAAATGGGTTGTTATGGCCGTCGTGTCGGCAGCGCAGGCTCACCATGACAGATAAATTGTGACCGGCCGTAATAACTCCCCTTCTCTCTCCGCCCGGGCAACTGATTGGTTTGCGGGCAGAACAATGCCTTTTGATCGGCATTCCTGAAAGCGCACCCCGTTCTGCGCCCTCAAATTCCTAAAGCACTCCTGAATTTCGGATCACCCCCCCGACAAGCCTCAAGAAAATTGTACTTTTTTTTTTTTTTTGAAGGGGGTTTTTTTTTTTTCGGACGGGGTTTTCGGGAAAAAAACCACACACACACACACGAGTTCAGTAAATTGCTTGAAGAAAACACATTTTCGAGAAGGAGGGTGAAAAAAAGAAATGATTTTGCTTTATACTTTAAAATAATGCACACAGTTAAAAGTGGAAGGGGTCTTGTCCGAAGTGATACTAATTCGGGATGTCTTGTCCTCGCAACGAATATCTTTGAGGGTTTTTTTTTTAAATAACGATGGGGTCTTAAACGCTCAGGCATTGTCTTGAAGGCGATGCTCAGACCCTCCTCCCCTACAGCAGTTCCTAATGAGGGATTTCAAGGCACTGGGGAGAGACGTTCATTCCCATGTAGTCGCCGGGGAGGTTAAATTTAACTCCTGGTAGGAAGGGTCGAGAATCTGTACAATATCATGACCCAGTCTGAGGTTTCTTTTTTTTCTGAATGGCGGCGTGGAGGTCAAGTCCACGGCAGCTGGCGACGCGACGCCGTGACGTGGGTGGGTGGGTGGGGGGGTTACTCCCTGGTGTCAAAGCGAGGGTGGTGGTGGTGGTGGTGGTGTGTGTGTGTGTCATCTCCTCGGAGAGGAAGGAAAAAAAAAACCCCGGTTCAGTCGAGTCGTGCTATCGCGTTAACCAGCGATTCCTGCGCCACTTCTGGACGAGACGCCGATTTCATACCGTTTTCAAGGGGGGATCCGTGAGCGGATGGAAACGACACGACAGGCAGGCTGTCACATGACTGGAGGGCAGGCAGGCAGGCAGGCAGGATGTGTGCGATTTCGAGCAAGGAGAGCAGGACGTGCCAGTCGGAGAGGTGGGGGCCCTGTACCCTCACACGGCGATAGCCCCAGTTACTCTGCTGGGCAAGTGGGTTCCCCCACCACGAAGTCACTCTGCCGTCTTCCTCTGGCCTGATGGTCCTTTAAGAGCTCTGCCACAGCTTGCAAGCTGGAATCAGACCAGGGTGGGACAATAGAGCATATACCCACGGTCAAGAGCATCCCGTATGCGAAATGCAGTGAGCCAGCCCTCAGCAAGGGTTAGGACAATGTGGGTGTGTCCATATTTATTGATCTGGGTATTTCCACCTATAATGGCTTTGGGCAGGTGGAGAGACACTGTTCAGGTTTAGACAAAGAGCCCAGTGGCTGTCCTGATTTATTCAGCTGATCTTTAAGACAGAAGGGCAGCAGGCTGACTGGGTCATTAGCATTGCTGTGTCACAGCACTGGGGTCCTGGGTTCAATTCCAGACCTGGGGGGGTGCTGTCTGTGTGGAGTTTGCATGTCCCCCCCACGTCCCCATGGGCTTGGTCCACACTCCAACACTCCTTAGTATGAACGAGGGCCTCCCATTCTCGTTTTTTTAAATGCGGTTCCACTTGTTGGTCACTGTGTCCCTGTTCCTGTTGGTCCTGAAGTTTAGATCGCAGGCAGGCTGCTCTGGTCAAGTGCCTGCAAGGTCTTTAGTTTTATGACATCTGTGATCCAGCCTGATTGAATCACTATTTGGATGAAAAGGTAAAAGACCTGTTGGATCCAGTCACTATCGACTGCTAATTGAAAAGTACTGAGACCCGCAGGTCTCCAGCAGTCTGCTACAGTAGTTGCCCATTGGGGACCTGGACCAGGGGGAGAAAGCTCCAGCCCCCAGGAGTCTGGCGCAGCACCTGGAAACATGCTTCTTTAACCTTTGACCTCTCACCCTGTCAGCTGCCTCACTTCAGGGGGGGGAGGAGGTGAATCAATCCTCAGGCCACAATCCTTCCAGCCCAGGAGTCTCCAGTCTTGTTGCCGGTCCTGCAAACCATATGAATCGCCACGTTTTAAAGGCTTGGGACAATTTCACTACGATCAATTTAACAGGCAGCGAGCACAATCAAGTCCAGTAGAGATCGTTTGGGACAAAATGGAACATCCTTCGACCCTCCAGGACCAGTGTTCCCTTCATTGAAACGTGACATGATCCATTGATTCGGGGTGACCTGTAAGATTAACTGGACTGGGGCTCTCCAGGATCACAGATAGTGACCCCAGCTTTAGAGATCAGGTATCTGCAAGCCTGGTCCCAGAGAGCCATAGTCCTGCGGGGTTTGTAAGTAGATTAAAATATTCAATGAACAGACATCTGTAAAGTATATTAATTTCTCCCAAGTAAGCAACTGATTAATCTAACGATGTCATTCATATCTCAGCTGGACCGAATACCACAAGTTCTTATGTCTGTGCAGGAACAGGGATGCAGATCTCTGGTCTAGAGATGGGAGTTTTTGCGTGTCGGACACCTTAACTGGTGGTACAGCGCTGGGGCCCTGGGTTCAACTCCAGACCCGGGGTGTTACCTGTGTGGAGCTTGCGTAGGCTTCCTCTGAGGGGCACGGTTTCCTCCCATAATCCGAAGACATGGGATGTTAATCGGCTTCTGTGAACGCTGGTCCTGGTGCGAGCGTGAGTCTTTGTGTCTGATGGACTGGTGGACCCTGCCTTGTGTGTGATGCTTGCTGGGATAGACTTTAGCTCCCCGGCAACCCTTTGTTGGATAAAGTGGTAAGACAGATGAATGGACTCAGGCATTGTGCTCAGCTATTCCCAAGAACAAACGCGCACCAGCGTTCTGTGACAATAGTGTTGAGTGTGAAACCAGTCACCTGCAAGGTGACGGAGAATCTCGTAGAATCAAGCTTGACGTAGAATTTCTGATCAAGATAAGATGCCGTATACAATATACAATTTCTTGCATTAGGAATTTGTCTTTTCGCATACCCCAACTTGCTCTCCATGAGACACACAGACAGGGAGAGAAGCTGGGGGTCAGAGTGCAGTGTCAGCCATTTATACAGCACCCCTGGAGCAGCTGGGGTTCAGGGCCTTGCTCAGGGGCCCAACAGAGTAGGATTCCTCTGCCGGCTGCGGGATTTGAACCGGCAACCTTCCAGCCACAGGCTGTTGCTCGGCTCTGCTTTTTGTCCTCTTGTCCTGGGAATTGATGTGCAGGAATCTTGATTGCAACTATACTTCCCCCATTGCGTTTGTAACCACTGCAACACTTACAGGACCCGGGGGATGAATCAAGGAGGAGTCAAGGTAACGGTCAAGAACGCAACAGCACCCAGGGGACGTGCTGGTGAGGTGAGAAGCCTTTTAAAACCAGGGGAGTGCTGGTTCAAACCCCAGCTCAGCCACTAACGCGTTCAGTCGCCCAGCGCGAGATGTGATTCAGACCCACCCTCGAGCCACAGGAGCAGCTGCTGAGTCCAGCCCCTTGCAATCATGCTACAGTCACTGCAGTGTCATCAGACCTGAGTCGGGTAAAGAACGGTCACTGTTCTGACTATATAGCTAATGCACACTGGCAAGACTTTCCCTCCAAATGTCTTCTGCTAATAGCTTAGACATGGTGAGGATTTCTGCTGACAGAACTGTTTTCTCCAAAACTGAAAAACGAGCTGCTCTCATTTTTCCCTTGCGGGGAGTTCCATACCTGCCGATACCTTGCCTGGAATGTAGCTCCTTTAGTCCACAGGCAGACTAAAATCCACTTCAAAACCGATTTTAAACGAAATGTCATTAACGGATCCGGGCATTATGAAGTATGATAATTAACCATGCTGATCCCATTTCCCCGATTATCTTACTACAGTTTTTCTTTTGCGTTGAAGTAGAGTTCAGTGTGTTTTATTACTATAGCAAAGCCTCAATACAATAACTCAAAACACTATTCCGCTTTCAGTCTTCGGTGCTGCTGGAGCTCGTAGGGTTTTGCTTGGATTGGGTAGCAGTGGAAAAAGAGCGTCGGGCTCCCTCTAGTGGTAGACAGCCGAAACGGAGCGGTGCGGTTTGCCTTGCGGTGAAAGCGTATCCGGCTCTGGTCCCGATGGGCTGCTGTGTCGAGCTTTTCCAACCCTCCTGAATACAGCTGCACCCGAAGAGCAAGGAGTAGTGGGTTAAATTGGGGACAATTAACCAATTACAAGCCATTTTAGGCCATTATCCTGCTGACATACCCACCCTCCGGCCCTAAAACTGGTCACCCCTACCCTAAACTTTTATGAAGAACTTTCTAGTTCCATATATTTTAACCTCTGGTCAGTGTTACCTCGTATACTGAATGTATTCGATACATACACTGTATTCTATGCACAGCACTTATTCATATTACCAGATTTGATAGTACCTTCACATAGGTGTCCACAGCTAAACCGAGGAACACTCAAGTTTCTAAATAGGTATTCGACTGCTGACTTACAGGAGTAGCACAGGCAGTTGCTTTTGTACTTGCATCCTGATGTCGGTGAAGCAATCTTGAAGACAGGAAGTTGTTATAAAGTGGTTATAGTTGAAAATCTTCAATTGTTTTAGGTTTAAAACCCTTAATCATTTTCCCTATTTTTTCCTCAGATGGTTGATTGGAACCAACCCATCGTTTATCGAATGATTCTGACGCATTACCATCAAATGCTGACGTCAGGGCAAATATTAACAAAAGGCGCACAGGAGCACAATACTTCAGACCTTTGATGGTGCCTCTCTTATCTGCATGATACAGGTGCCTTTTCAGTTTTTCACAATATGAAAGAGACAGACTCTCATCTCCCGCAGCTGTGCTCTGACTAAGCTATCTCTTGCTCAGATGAAACAGGAGGCAACACAGATGGAGCCCAGATAAAACCAAAAAAACATTTTAAAAAAAGTATACAAACTATTAAGCTGCAGCTGGGTGTTTTGCATCACAGAACACACACATTCCATTTTTAATCAGATTTATTGATTGCAGCAAACAGCACTGTAGCTTTGCCTATACCAAAACCAATCTTAAAGTACATTTCCATACAAAATGATTTCTAGTACAAACAGTTGGATTTGGTATTGTGTCAATGAAGCTTAAAACTGGTTAATATGAATATAAAAAGTGGAGACAGATTCATTTATATGGCCTTCTTAAAAACTTGGCTTAAACAAGTGTATTTTGTTGCAAATATAGCGTTCTCTGTAATTCACTTTAGTGGATGTGCTTTGTCTCTAATATTGTTGGAATTTAAAGAAAACAATACAGAAAACAGAATGAAAAGACGGCAAATCAAGACTAGACAGAAAATATTTACAACGTTTGTACAGCAACAGTTTAAAATCCACAACTGAGCACCGGTCAGGAGGATAGACTCGGGGCCAGAATCATTCCTGCTTTCACTTTACGTCCCCTTGAGCTCACTCCATTGGTTTGTCCAATTTCACTTCCTCTCCAGTCACCCCACAATATTTTGGGGGTGAAGGTAGTGTGAATCAAGGCCCCTCTTATTTTACACACATCTGTGGCAGAAAAGACACAGAAACCTTCAGTCTGTCGGACGGAAAAGATACCGATCTGCTTGCTGATTTAAGGCAGAATGAGAGCCAGGAGAGAAGGCACCAGCCTCCCAGGACTCCAGTGTTGCAAGAGCAGTTTGATGTTCTGCTAATTCCTCTTCCGAGTCACTGTACCGACGAAGGACAAACGCAGTTGTGTTTAGGTTCGTTCCCAACCCACGTCTCTGTCAATAAACCGTACCGCCTCTCACTTCGTAGTGACGCGTGATCACAGACGATCACAGACCCTGGCAGGCACCACATCCCGGCATCTACACTCTCCGAAAGCCAGCTACCCTGCACCACCTGTGAAACCTGTGCTTCCCCGGGCGGACAAGGTGGTCCGTGTGCCGGGGCGGCCCGTTCCCTTCTTGGTTTTCAAATCGTGGTCTCCCCCCCAACCCAGGCAACGACACGATGGTGTAGAACCGCTCAGACAAACCCCATCTGCAGAGCTCTCGGAGATGACCGACAGGAGCCAAGGAAGCCACAGTCACAGGAAACCTGTTCTCGCAAAGAACAGTTTCCTTTTTGGTACAAAAAAAAATGAACAACAACAGAAAAAAGCCAAACTGCATGTTTTGTTTAGTTTCTAGCATGCACAGGGCTGAAGTGCCGAAATCTTCCATTGTGCATAAAATGTTACCCATGATTATTACGGACAAGAAAGTTTTAAGTGTTTCACACTGCTGTTTTAACTCAGGATTCACTTCAATAACATTCTGGAGTGTTGTATTTAAATGCATCTCTCACTACTGCATAGATAGTGTAACTGTATAACTGGCGTGAGGTTACTATGTTTAAAACAAGAGTCTTTCAGCAGGCTATAAATTGTGTAGTAAAATTCAGGTGGCAACAGGTGCAGAAAAGTGTTTGATATTTCCTTTTCTAATGTAAAAAGGGGTGCAAAACGCTTAACTGTAGCCTATATCCATTTTGCACATTAAAATCTCAGGTTGAAAATAAGTTTGGTGCTTCTTCTGGGACAGAAGAAAACGCCTTTAACGAGGTGTTAACTACTCGATGCCGACTGTGAGATCTTACTTCATAAAGACAGCACTACGTGCCTCCGACAGGAGTGAAAAGATTGTTGTAAACTTTGCACACAAGGCAAACTGCTTTCATGTCATAAAAGAGCACAGTGGTGCTCATTGACCGAGGTTAACTCACAAAAATAGTCCTTCATTACAGGAATTAGACACCCGTTAGCGCATCTTACAGGAAACAAAGTAAAAACCCAGATGACATCACGTCAGTTCCCGGTAATGTTTAGATTACCAGGTTAGATTACACCTTTCAATCTGAAATGCTGCCAAATTAGCTTCAATGCGTATGTAGCAGCTTATATATATTCACGCAACACGCAGTAAAGTAGTCCGCGTGTTTATATAAGGCGAAGCGAGCAGTATGCGGTGCGGTACGGTTACAGTTCATTCATGTTTTCGGGCCGTCTAGGCTCCGGAAGCGAGGGGGGGCGGTGATCTCGCGCACTCGGGGTCTCCGCGAGGCAGGTGGCTCGAGCGAGGCACCTGCGGCTTCCGCCCGGGTCGGTCACCCGGAAGTAAAGGAGACCGCAGAAGGGCTCGCGGCCTGCTTTACCGAGGCGCCGTCTTTTCTGTAAAACTCTTCACCCGGACAGCAAATCGGGGGAAGACGATTGAGTCCTTCCAGCTGTCGCCCCCCCCTCCTCCAAAAAAAAAAGGAGTAAAATAAGCAAAATCATTTGATTTTTAACCACTTCATCCGTGCCACTGTGGTCCATGAGCGCCCCCCCCCAGGGAACAATTCGCCCCTCGCGCTCCGGGACAAATTCACTCCAAAACACGCGAAGCGGTCGCGGTGACACGGGAACGGAAAGCTTCACGTTTTAATTCACACGAAGCGTCCAGAAAACCGTTCACTCGCGCAGACTGTGGCCGGAGGAGAGCGCCGGGATACCGGTACCGGTCCGACTCCGTGCGCCTGGGAGTAAACCGTCCCGCCGGCCAGAATACCGGACACACGCGGTTCCACCCCGCCTTCTGAGTTTTGGACCTTTGCGCTTGTGTGTAACGAACCCATCTCGCCGCTCCCCCTCCCCAGGACTGTAAAGCAGTAGCAGACCAGACTGCTGCGCAAAGGGAAAGAGAGGCGAGGGTTGTTGTTGCCCCCCTTATTGGTTGGGCATTGCATTTGTTTTTATTTTTTGCTTTTAAGGGACCCCGGGATTCTTGACTTTTTGACCCTTAAGGCGACGACTTGTTCATGCAGATTCGACCAGAGTCGGTATTTTAATACATTGTTTCGGTTATCTGTGAATATGGGTTTTTAAGTGCAGTTACAGAGTAGCACCTTCGCCTCCAGGCGCATCAAGATCGGCAACTACGGCACGACGGGCTGTTGACTGCGGCGGGCTCTCGACTGGTCCACTGCTGCCGCCCAGTGGCCTGGCCGGGTCACTGCAGGGGACCGCAGCGCCGCAACGAGACCCAGCTCATTTTGCGGACTTAGTTCTGGATTTGTGACGCAACAACGCATTATAGCTCCTCTATAATTATTATAGCTCCTCTATAATTATTATAGTTACTATAATATGCACAGAGCCTGGATCTAACATCTGTCTGCTGGAACATAGTTCCTCATGAGGGGTCAACACTGTGTTGCACAGTGTCACAAATCCTTCAGGATTCTTACAAGCTCCCTTAGGTGTGTTAACTTTCATATTGTAAGAGGACGATTTTGTTTGCATTGATTATGAAACTGAAAAAAAAAACATGATTATGGCTCTGCTTGCAGCTATAAAACAGATATAATGTATCGAAAACTGAGTACTGCCCTGGTATCCCCTCGCCATGAACAGGGATACTGGAAATCTAAAATCAGACAACAGAACAAGTGCAAAAATAAAAAAGGTCAAGGGTACTTTGCTTGACTCCACCCCAGAGTTCATGGGCTCAGCAGCACTGGCACCTGAGGGGGGCGCCGTCTCTCCCCCTCATCGCCACTCACTTCTTGAAGAACTTCTTGTTCAGGAGGAAGATGAGGAGGTTCACGTTGACCTTGGCCTTGTCGAACATCTTCATCACCGCCACGCCCTCGTACTGCAGCTGCAGGAGGTCCTGTGCCAACAGACGACAGGTGGGAGTTAGAGGGCACAGCGGCGCTCACACACCGGAAGGGCTGGGCGTGAACTCGGGAAGCCTGGAGCTGGCGCTGTGCCGGCCAGGTGACTCCATAACTGGAGGTGTTGGGTCAAATGGCCACGTGGACAAATCGGGCCAAAGTCAACCTGGCAGGTGTGCCATGCTGGCTGTTATCAGGTGCCCTCACCACATCGAGACACAGGCGGGCACAGTGCCCCCCGCGGACACACGGGACGCACCTGGTACTTCAGGGGGAACCGCTCCATGTCCACGCCCATGAAGCGGGCTTTCACCAGGAAGGTGCCCACCTCCTCGCAGGGCACGATGTCGAAGATCACGTTCTTGAACCTGCACGAGAGACACCACAGCCCTCACGTCACCAGCCCGGCAGAGGAGGCCGCGCGTGGGAGTGGGGAACAAGCTGCCGCGACACCCTGGTTTCTACTGAGAAACGGCGGGATGGCATGCTGGGATGAGTCAAGGTGGATGGGCCCTGTGGCCTCCGCGGGGCTTCCTTGAAGCTGCTCTCACTTTTACCCTGCCCTGCTGGTTTGGGCACCTGAATCTGAGGTACAGATCAGAACAAACTGGGCAGCCTGGTGAAAATCTGTCAGAAGGTCACTGGTGCTGATCTCCCAG